CGGTGGTGACATGTGGTCGTGTCAGCGTGACAAGTGTGCAAGCGTGGGGAGAACACGAGGACAGAAACAGGCGCATAAATGAAGTGTAAACGAACACACGCTGCGAGTTGACAACAACAACAACAACAACAACAACAACAACAACAACAACAACAACAACAACAACAACAACAACAACAACAACAACAACAACAACAACAACAACTTACGCTTCCGCCTCTGCTTGGTCGACTGTTCGTTGCCTCTCGAGGTCGGATTTGTTGCCTGCGCACACAGCAACCAACAACCAAGGCAAGCAATTGTGTGAGAGGGATGTGCGTTGTAGGTTGTGTCATGTGCGCGTGTGTGAATTAAGGCGCAGCACAGAGCCATACACGCACACAGGAAAAGCCTCAAAACACACACACACACACACACATCCCACAATGCGCACCGCAAATGGTGAGGGCGATGTTACTTCCAAGCATCTTCTTCAGCTCACGAACCCAGTTCTTGACCTGACAAGGGCGGCACACGTGGCTTGGGGGTGAGACAACGCACCACTACTAGCACAGTTGCAGACAACCGAGGGCACGGCAACACGGAACAAAGTTGCAAACACAAAAAACACAAGCACACCTTTTGGAACGAGTCCTGGTCTGTGATATCGTAGACAAGCACGGCGCCGTGACTGTTGCGATAATAAATGGGTCCCAGTGCATGGAACTTCTCCTGCCCCGCCGTGTCCTGATACACACACACACACACACACACACACACACACACACACACACACACACACACACAGAGTGGGCCGTGAGCTTCCGGAGCTTGGACAGGGTGCAGTGGGTGTAGGAAGGAGTGTGTGCAAACTTGTGCACGTCGACATGACCCACGCAAGTTTACACACGTAACCACACACGTAACCACACACGTAATCAAAGAGGCATACAACGGCGAATGCAAGGTGATGTTTCCGCCGCTTACCCAGATGGCAAGCTCCACTCGTTGCTGATTCAAGTTGATCTTCTTCTTCAAGAACGACGCCTACACGTGTGCGTGTGCGTGTGATTGTGTTGTCGCACGTGTTGAAGAAAGCGTGAGGAATCAACCCGGAGGACGCACACATGAATTGTCATGTACAGGCGTGAACGAAGGAATAGCTATGCAACGCAGCCACAACACGTGCCACCGACGACATGACACAAACGCAGGCAGCAAGACAAGACAGCGAAGTGTGCTCAGATGGTGTGGGCACGCGTACCTGTAGTGTTGACACATGGTTCTCGTTGAAGGTCTGTTGGCAGTACCGCAAGACAATGGACGTCTTACCCACACAGCCTTCCCCCAACAACACAATCTGCCATCCGGCACATGCAACAGGCAAGCACGACGACGACGGTGATGGTGGTGATGGTGGTGGTGATGTTGATGGTGGTGGCGGTGGTGATGATGCCGGAACGGTGGTGAGGTCACAGGTTGGGTGCGTGCAAACGAACGTTCCTCAACAGGACAGACATGCCAACCCACGTCCAATCGCTCCCTCCCTCTCCCTCCCTGTCTCCGTGTTCAACGACGATAGCCCGCACCTTGAATTGGGAAGCCATGCTGTTGGCTTTGATCGATGGACTGTTGTGTGCTGCCCTAAAGGAAACCCACACCACCTGGACACGGAGCAAAAGGCGGGGAGGGGGAGGAATTCATGCCATGAGGAACGAGCGCACTGCTGTGACGTGACACTACGTGGTGCACCATGCCTCCATTGCCCATCAAGCCATTCACATCAATCATGCAGACACCCACGCAAACACGCAAACACGCAAACACACACACAACCATCAACCCAAACATGACATACACAGTCATCACCCATCCCACAATTCACTCTCACCAAAGCAAGCTTCTGTCTTCCTGGCAGGTCTTCTGCGCTATTGGCTTGCTATCAGCTACTGGTGTTGATGCTGATGACGCTGCTGCTGACGCTGATGAACGATGGCTCGCCTCCTCCACAACACAACAAACGCTTTCGTCTCTGTCAACCAACGAACCAACCAAACACCACAAGCAAGCAAGCAAGCAACAAGAGCGAGAGCAGGGGAAGGGGGGTGTTCTCGTTGCTTTTGCTCAGCGGCGCTCTCTGTCTGCAGACGACAAGAAAAAAAATTAAAACCACCGGGTGAAAATACATGGGCATCATTGCAGCTATTCTCTGTAGTGCAGTTCATAATGTCGGCGGCTTGTGGTTTGTGTGTGAGGGGGTTTCCTCACTTTGCAGCAGACACCACTCTTCCCTCCTGCTGCTTGCTCTCTGTTGTTGGGCTCCCATATCACTCGCTCAGCACCTCCAGCTCGGTGTTGTTGCTGCTGTTGTTGTCGGTGATTGTGGTGGCTGTGACTCCGCACACGCTGGGACGTTATTAACGCAGCAGTAGCAGTTGTTGTTCTTGTCCGCTGCTTTTGAGGCAGCGCATTCTCTGTTTTCTTTGCCCTTCCCCCTTCCTGTTCGTGGTCGTCCTTGACCAATGAGTCGCTTCTTGTCGCCCCTGACACGGGGCCTGCGCGGCGCTGCTGGTTCAGCTGCCATGCCCGCGTCGTCGAGAATGACCACCGTGCGCGCGCATGGTGTGGCCACCTCTGGTGCCCGCGCCTCTGCCGCGCCCATGTCTCCCATCGCACACTTCGTCCGTGCACTGGCCAGCCAACCCTCACCAACCGAGGCCTTTCTCAACGGCACATCCACGCCATATGTTGGTGCGTTCCTTCATGGATGCATATCGCTGTGCACTGCTTGCTGTATGCGTTTGTGTGTTTGCTTTGGGTGTGCGCGGGAGGTGTGTGTGTGTGGTGTGTGTGTGGTGTTTGTGTGTGTGTGTGTGTGTGTGTGGTGTTTGTGTGTGCGCGTATTGCTTTCATACGCACACACACACACACACCACACACCACACACCACACACCACACACACATACACCCTGCCCCTTCCCCCCCCCCCCCGTGTTTCACCCACGCCGAGCCTCAAACACACACACACACACACTTACCCTGTGCTGCTAACACCGCCCACCTCCCCAACAACGCAGAGGCCATGCATGAGGAATGGAAGAAGGACCCAAACTCCGTACACGCTTCCTGGCGCAAGTTCTTTGAGCTTGAGGGCAAGGGCTACGGCAAGGGTGCCTCCTACACACCCCCGCCAGGCATGAACGCCGCCACACCTCTGAGCCCAGAGATTGCCGGCGACATGTCCCTTAACGACATCCTCGCACATGTCAAGGTACACTAATGTGCACGTGTGAATGGTGGTGCAGTGGTTTGTGAATGTGTGCGATTCGTGATGTTGGCGCTGCCACTGCTGGCACAATCACTCACAGCCCCACATCACTGAATCCTCTGCACCACGCCTCATTGCACACGTGCAGGTTGAGCGACTGATTCGTGCATATGAGGTTCGCGGCCACAACATTGCGGACCTCGACCCCCTCGGCATCCTCCACGCAGACCTGGACGGCGACATCCCGCCTGAGCTGCAGCTCGATTACTACCACTTCACCGAAGCTGACCTCAACCGCGAGATTGTTCTTGCGCCCCGCCCCATCTTCAATGTACGCTGGTCCACCACATGTTTCTGCTCCTTTGTTGTGACGCAAACCTCAGCCATCGCATCATCGTGCATGCGCACGAGCCCTATTGCTCGCACTCCACCTCACCGCTCCTCGCTTGCTTACACGCACGCACACACACACACACACACACACACACACACACACACACACACACACACACACACACACACACACACACACACACACACACACACACGCGCGCGCGCGCGCGCGCGCGCACACACGCTTGTTGTGGTTGATGGGTTGCGCCGCTTCTGTAGGACGCGAGCAAGATGACGCTGCGTGACATCATTGCCACGCTCAAGCGCGTCTTCTGCCGTGACATTGGCTTTGAGTTTATGTTCATTCAGGTCAGTCGTCTCTCTCTCTCCTGTGCTTTGTCTGTTGAGCTCGCATGCTGCGTTATCCTCGCACATTACGTGTGGTGTCTGTTTGCGTACTCTCACTGCCCACGTGTGCGTGTGGTTGCGTTTGTGTGGTTAGGAGCGCGACCGTGTGCTGTGGCTGCAGGAGCAGATCAAGAACTCTGACGAGCGCTACAGCCCGGAGAAGCGCAAGGACATTCTTACAGACCTCATCCATGCCGGCGTACGTCAACCACCATTATTGCTCTGTTGCCGCTGCTCAGCGTGCTCCCATGGCGCCACATGATTGCTGAGGTGGCGCGCTGTAATTGTGCATGGTAACGCGTACCTCTTTTGTCTCGCTTGCTTTCACAAGCGCCGCTTCCCACACAGCAACGCTTTCCACACATTCACGCACGCATATACACACATGCGCGCGCAACCAATCTTCTCCTCTCATGTGTCCATTCCCTTGTTGGGGTTCTTGTGACGTGTCTTCACTTGTAGGGCTTTGAGGACTTTTTGAAGAAGAAGTACGTGAGCGAGAAGCGGTTTGGCATTGAGGGCTGCGAGAGCCTGATTGCCGGTATGAAGAGCATGCTCTTCAAGGGCCACGAGCTCGGCGTCGAGGTAAGCAAGGTCACACACACACACACGCACACACACACACACGCACACACACACACACACACACACACACACACACACACACACACACACACACACACACGCACGCATACGCACACGCACAACCTGTATAATTTGTGCTCGTCACCATCACGCGTCTGCAACCATGGCCTGTCTGTCTGTCTCACACGACCGTACTCCGTTCACGTGTGGTTTGCGGAATCAACCACATCATCTGTTTCCGCGCTCACCTCATGCCAACCCTGTCGCTCTGTGCTGTGTGCTCTGTTCTCTGTGTGCGTGTGTGCGTGCGTGTGCGTGTGCAGTATGCAGTGCTCGGTATGCCGCACCGTGGGCGCCTCAACATCCTCCACAACGTCATGCAGAAGCGTGGCGAGGTCATCTTCAACGAGTTTGCCTCCCGTCTCGAGCCAGACGACGAGGTACGCCATGTGCTCTGCTGTCATGTGTTTTGTGGTGTGTTTGGCGGTGAGGAGTGTGGTTGTCGAGTTGTGTATGCGTGCACTGGACACCGCCCACGTGTTTTGTTTGTTTTGTGGTTGTTTCGTGTGCTGGGGTTTTGCAGCACATTGTGTGTGCGTGTGTCACGTTTCACGAACGATTCGTTTGCCCGCTTGCCTTCTTTCGGCAATGACGTCATCACCATGCAACTTGGACGTAACGTTCACAATCACACACACACACACACACACACACACACCCGCATACACACACGCATACACACACACACACACGCACACACACACATGTACACAGGGCTCTGGTGACGTCAAGTACCATCTGGGCATGTCCTCTGACATCAGCTTCCCGAACCGCGAGGGCACGATGCACCTGTCGCTGATGGCCAACCCGTCGCATCTCGAGGCCGTCAACCCCGTCGTTGAAGGCAAGGCGCGCGCCGAGCAGGAGTATCGCGGCGATACGGAGCGCAAGAAGGTCATCCCCATCCTCCTCCATGGCGACGCTGCGTTTGCCGGACAGGTGCGAAGTGGTGGCGATGGTGGTAGTGGTCGTGGTGGCGCCGATGATGGCACTCGTGGGTTGGTTTGCTGCACGAAACACTGATGAGGTGGCGGCTAGAGAGAGAGAGAGAGAGAGAGAGAGTGTGTGTGTGTGTGTGCGTTTGCGTTTGTTTTGTGGTGTTGGTTGGGGTACTCAACCAGTTGTGCCCGCCCCCACCCCAACTTTCTCACACGTGACACCTGCATGCTTGCGCGGCCTTGTTTGTACTTGATGTTTTGGCAGGGTGTTGTGTACGAGTCGCTTGGCCTTGCGTCCCTGCCGGCCTACACCACGGGCGGAACCATCCACATCATCGTCAACAACCAGATTGGCTTCACCACAGACCCCCGTCTCTCCCGCTCAACCCCCTACTGCACCGACGTCGCAAAGGTGCGAAGCACTTGTGTGTACATGCAAATCATGTTGAACATGTGTTGGACGTGTTGAATGTGCGGCCGTTTCATTCTCCTTCGTCGGACACCATCCATGAACCCCTCTCCTTCTTTGATTTATCGTGTGTCAACTCACATTTCGTGCTTCGTGCTTCTGCTGCCGCTGCTGCTTCTGTTTGTCTCGTTGCCAGATGCTGGGCGCGCCAATCTTCCACGTGAACGGTGACGACCCGGAGGCCGTTGTCCGCTGCTGCGAGCTCGCCATGGAGGTGGGTGTGCGGGGTGACCGCCTTGATCCTCGCATCAATGCTGCTGTTGCATTGGTGCCACCCATCAGCCACACACACACACACACACACACACACACACACACACACACACACATACACACACACACACACACACACACACACACACACACACACATACACACACAAGTATTCAAGCAAGGGGATCGGAATCATGCACACGCACACATGCACTTCCATGCCTATATTCACTCACATGCACATGTACATGTACACCAACACACACACACACATGCAGTGGAGACAACAATACGGCACGGACGTTGTTGTTGATATTGTGTGCTACCGCCGCCACGGCCACAACGAGGCCGACCAGCCTGCGTTTACCCAGCCGCTCATGTATGAGAGGATTGGCAAGCAGAAGCCGACGCCACAGCTGTACGCCAACCGCCTCCTTGAAGAAGGCGTTGTGGACCAGGTATGCGCTGCTTTCTTCTCCGTCTCCACATGTCTTGTCGCCAGTGCTGCATTGTGCATGTGTGCGTATGCACCTTGTGTGTGTATGTGGACATGTGCGTTGACCTCTTGTCTGTCCGTCTCACACCTGAGGACACCCTTGTGAATAATCATTCCGTCTTGTGCTTCCTTCCCTCTCTCTGTTTCGAATTCCATGACCATTGCAGGCGTGGATTGATGAGGTTGCCAAGGAATACGAGCAGCGCTTGGCGACTGCCTTCGACAACGCCCCGAGCTTTACCAACGTGAGGCCGGAATACTTTGGATCTCGCTGGAACAAGCACCTGGTCAAGCTTGGCCTTGCCCCGCCACGCGAGACGGGCGTGGACATCGACACCCTCAAGACCGTTGGCGTGGTGCGTTGTTTTGCTGCAGTGTTGCATTTACTGCATTGCTGCGGGCTGCGTGCATGGCTGCAGTTCGTGTGCACGTGCTGTGTGGCAGTGATGGTGTCGCCTGGATCTGCTATGAGGTTTTTGTTCCTATGATCCTGCCTTGCCTCACCCACGCACACATACACACACGCACACACACGCACGCACACACGCGCGCACACATCACGTGCCCGTTAGCGCGCTGCGGAGTATCCAGATGACTTTACCGTGCACAAGGCGCTGAAGAAGGTTCTTGCTGCGCGCCGGGAGTCTGCTGAGGCCGGCGAAGGGATTGACTGGGCAACCGCGGAGTCGCTTGCCTTTGGCACGCTCCTGCTTGAAGGCACGCACGTGCGGCTGAGCGGGCAGGACGTCG